TGGGCCAGGAGCCAGGAGCGCCCCACTGCGCCTGTGAGCTCGATGGCCAGCACTAGGGGAGGCCGAGGCAGGAGGATCGCACGGGCAAGCCCCGCCTGGGCAACCTGGCGAGACCCTGCTGCAAATAAAAACTAAAAACTCTGGGGATACACGTGGCTCTCCAATCCGCAGTGCCACCGCCTATGTAAATAGGAAAGAAAGTAAACAGAAGCCAGGAGCGCCCCACTGCGCCTGTGAGCTCGATGGCCAGCACTAGGGGAGGCCGAGGCAGGAGGATCGCACGGGCAAGCCCCGCCTGGGCAACCTGGCGAGACCCTGCTGCAAATAAAAACTAAAAACTCTGGGGATACACGTGGCTCTCCAATCCGCAGTGCCACCGCCTATGTAAATAGGAAAGAAAGTAAACAGAAACCAGAAGCTCGGCCCTGCCTCCCTTATTGATTCCCCAGACCAGGGCGCTTCCTGCCTCCCTCCAACTACCCGGTTGTCCTCCAAGTCCAGAGGGCGAGGCACAGCTTCCCAGTCAGGGACACCAGCCTGCAGCCCCCACCCCACCCAACAGCGTCCTGAGGCCCGCGGGGTCCCCATCCACCCTCTGCGGTCTGCTCCTCGCAGCTGGCTCCTCGGAACCCCCAATTCTCACCCGTCTTTTTTACCCATTCTCCTCTGACACCCTGAGACCATAACCACCTCCAGAGTCACCACAAAATCCGCTAGAGCCGGAGCACCGTGGACCCAGAGGGGACAGGGTTCGCACTGTATTGCTGTGCTGGACAAAGATCCAGACAGACAGCAAGGGTGAGGCGAGCTCTATCCTCCTGCTGTCACCTGCAGGGTCCGCAGAGCCTCCTGAACCACCCTGCCCTGAACCACCGACGTGGCAACAGCCATAGAAGGATTTATCGGGCAGGAATTAAAGGCTTGAATTCAAAGAAATCGAGTGTAGGCCCGAGCGGTATAAAGCAACAGGATGAACAAACTCAGAGAATGTTAGATCACCTACGTTTCATACCCCCGTCTCTGTAGAATGGCCCCCTTGGGGTGGGCACCCTTCCCTGGCTTTCCACCCCCACTTCCCAACTGCAGTACACCTCATTTCTGAGTGTGTCCCAAGTCTCTAATAAAACCCTTTCTGATGAGTCCTGAAATTTCCTTTTTCTCTACAGGAGTCAGCCAACCTAGCGCAAGAGGATGGGCCGAAAATGAGGCCTTGGGGAGCTAGGAGAAAAATTAATCACGTCACCAAAAGACCAAGGCATCTGTGAAAATGTCTACCAAAAATGCACAGAGAGTTGGAAGCCAGCCTACTTGCCAGGACTATTTTCTAAATTGTCCCTAGTTATTTGCAATGATAAAGATATTGTGCATGAAGCAGCTCCATTACAAAATGCTCCAGAATCTATTACACACTATTCTCAGAATTTTCTCCATGATTTTTTGGTAGCAGGAATCAAACTCAGGACCTTGTACTTCCCAGGCAAGCGCAGCACCACTGAGGTAAATCCCTGGCCCTCTCCCTGATTTTTTCGGTGATCATCATTACTGTTTCATCTAGTTCCCCAAAATTAATCAACTTGAATTACTACTTACTTAGTATTTTATAGCTGGGGTTCTTCATAGACACTTACCCCCTGAATACCTGAACGATGTGTAGATATCCCAGCGTCCTGTAAATTTCATGTCTATTTCTCCTTAACTCAAAAAATAAAGTTATTATATGTAATTTGTTGTTCAGTATTTCATTTTTTTCTCTTCTTGAAGCAGGACTTCAATGTTGCTTTTAATTTTTATTTTATCAATTTATTTATGTTCTTTAAGACAGAGTCCCACTGTGTGGTTCAGGCTGGCCTTGAACTCACTTTGTAGGCCAGGATGGCTTCAAACTCGCCATGGTCCTCCTGCCTCAGCCTCCCAAGTGCTGAGATTACAGACGTGCACCACCTGCCTGGCTAACACAGCTTTTCAGTACATCTGCAAACAACAGAGAGCAAACCTCTTAGCGCATGGTGAAACACTAGCAGCATTTCCTGCCGGAGAAGAGGAAGAAGTTTAACACTGCTTGGGGCTCCTCGGCAATGCAATAAAGAGCGAGGGAGGACTACAGCGAAATAAACACATCACTGTTCATAGGTAGCAGGTGCTGTGCTTCAGATTGTGGGCCCCCTACTGGCACAAGTGAAGACTTTGTAGCTCGTGGTGTACTTGAAAGGTGCTGCACCTTTAAAAGGTGGGACTAAGGTGGACACCTTCTGGCCAGAGAGGAACAGGCTCTCCTTGGGGACATAGGGATTCCACCCCTCCTTCCCAGCCACAGTGAGGTTAAGCAGCTTGCTCAGACCCTGCCCCAACATCCTGCTTGCCCCAGGTCCAAAAGACAATGGGATGAACTGACTGTGGATGGAACCTCCCAATTTGTAAGCCAAGCCAGCCTTTCCTCTTTATGAATTAATGGGCTCAGGTATTTTGTCACAGTGACAGCATGTAATATGGTCAGCAATAATAACTGTTGGCTGGCAACATGAACGGTGTCCACACTGGAATGGTACACACCATAAAGAGCTCATCAAAGTTATGAGATCCAAGATCAGAATGCAAATATCAACTGTGTCAATCAGAAAACGTGGGTGTAAAAAGATGGCATTTTAGACACCAACAAAACAACCCCAGGCATTTAAAAAAAAAAACATAGCCGAAGAGATGCAGGCCTTATACAGATAAATATAAGATAGAAATATGGATAAATATAAAATATTACTGAATGACATAAAAGAAAATGTAAATTAATAAGATAATCGCATGTTTATGAATGGGAGGTACAAAGTAATGAAAATGTAATTCTCCTCCCAAGCCAATGTATAAACTCATTCCAACCAAAATCACTACAGGATTCTCCAAAGGATGACAAGATCATCCTAAAGCTAACGTGAAACACGAGCACTTAGAAGAGTAAGAAAGGAGGGTTCGCCCACACCCCGAGACTTGGCGCCGGAGTGGAGACAGGGGAGCGGCAGGGACAGCACGTACTGGGCCCCACCAGACGCGACTCGGACAGGGCTGACATAGTCGTGACACCAAGCCTTCACGCTTCCTCACCAGCCTCTTTTTACCCCTAGAGTTCTTAAACAAGGTAGCTGACTGCAAGCCACAAAGGGGGAAAAAAAACGATTCATTCTGTATTTCAACGTTAAGCATGGTGCATTTAAAGTCATCTTCGAAAACTGAATACAGCGAGGAGGGAAAACGGGCCACTGTCACTCCTGGGGTGCTGGCCGGGTGGTTGGGGTGAGGAGTTTGCACCCTGACCCTAGCAAAAGCCAGGCCGCTGCAGAAGGGCCCGGTGGGGCAGGATGGGACAGTGTAGAGACACGGCGCTGCCAGGGATGTGTTCTGCAGAGACGATAGTTTTGCCCCTTCCTCCTGTCCATGAGGCTCCACTGGGCTCCGCCTGGCTGGACTCTGAACACTCTGGGAGGTGAGGCAAGAGCATCACAAGTTTAAGCCCAACCTGGGAAACTTAGGAACTTGGTGAGACCCTGTCTCAAAAGAAAGAAAAAAGGGCCCAAGTTCAATTCCAAGT